CTATCCTAAGCCACCCACCCCCTGTCCTGAGCCCCTCCTCAGCCCTGACCCCTCACCCCCTGAAGGAGGCATTGGCCCTACCAGTCAAGGCCCATTCCCAAAGAGGTTCTAAGGTAGGTCGGCATGCTGCCTCGGTTGCCACCCTCCGGGAACCACAAAGTAATCCCGCTGTGAGGTTAGGTCAAGGTGTTTCTAAACAACTATCCTAAGCCACCCACCCCCTGTCCTGAGCCCCTCCTCAGCCCTGACCCCTCACCCCCTGAAGGAGGCATTGGCCCTACCAGTCAAGGCCCATTCCCAAAGAGGTTCTAAGGTAGGTCGGCATGCTGCCTCGGTTGCCACCCTCCGGGAACCACAAAGTAATCCCGCTGTGAGGTTAGGTCAAGGTGTTTCTAAACAAGTCAGATGAGCTTGAGCAGATGAAATTCCAGGGCTGTAGGTCTTACTGGGGATACCAATAGGGGCCCACTCTCAGGGGCTGGATCGCCTGGTCTTTATGGAGCCAACGTCAGATTCCGGGAAGGAACAGGTATCCATGGGCTGTTGTGTCGCTCTCTGTTGTAACCTAGAAATTGCCACTAGCTACTAGGGTCACCTGTATCACAGCCTCTTCTAAAGACACTCCTTCTCTAGAGAGGGGGTCACCCGAGAAGATGTCTCCTCCCCCTTTGCTCTGCTCAGCCCTTCCTTTGCATCACCAAGGCAACCCTAGACTACACCTCTTCTCAGACTTCCTTCTCTTCCTGCAGACCCCTGACGGCTGCTGCCCTGAGAACTTCCTCCTCCCACACTCCCTGCACTGTTGAGACTCAATCTTCATCTCTTCTGCTAAAGGTATTGTAGCAACTCGAATTGGCTTGTTTCCCGTCTTTCTAGTAACCGGAGCCTCCTCTTCAGTTGACTCCATCATCGCAAGAGGACTAGGATCTGACCCTTCCTCCTCTAGCTTGTCTCCTGTCTCTCTCACCATCTGTGTCTCCTTCTCTACCTTCGCCCTTCCTCTTTCTGCCAAGGAACTTTCTACAGTGGGTTCTCCTTCACCATGACAAGTCTTCTCCGTCTCCAACTCTTTCCAACTTTCCACCACGGTCTGTTTTATACCTGCCCTGGGAGCTGCTCGCTCTTGCCGACAGCGTGTTTCCTCTCCTATTTCCCGTGTTTGATATTTGCTTCATTCTAACGTTTTCTCTCACACCTGCTTCCTTCGGAGAAGGGCTGATGTTCCTCGGATGCCGTTGAATAGCTGACACAAAAACGCTACGCACGCTGCTTATTCTTAACTCTAAGCTTCTAAATCTCTAACCCTGAAGGCATCCCTTCACAGAATCAAACACCCCCACTGGTTTCTCATGTTAATTTCAGTGAGTTCTCCAAAGAAAACAGGAGAACGAGTGGGGGTAAGTTCCCTCTCTCGTCCCCTCCATGGCTCTTAGCTGATCCGGAGGTTATCCGCCTGTTGCGATCTGCCAAACAGTCGGGAGGAAACTGAGCTTTAAACCTTCAGTAGCAATGCACCCTAAACACACACATCACTTTAAATAATAGTACTACCGCTGTTCTCTCTCTCGAAAGATTAAACTGCACACTTGTGGCCAGGAAAGAAGAAAATAAACTCTAAGTTCAGCAGCTGTACAGAACAGGAAACTGAAGCTGTTGCTAAGAAGCAGGCACAGGAAACCTGAGTTTCCTCTGCACGGAGAGACAGTCGGTTAGGAGACCTAGACACAGCCTTTGCTCTCTAGTTCAAATTCTTTCACTTTTCCTTTGGGGAACATTGCAAAAGGTCTAAAATGCCTGGAGTCTTTAGACATCCCTGTCACATGCTCCTTCCGCCTTCTGTCTGCAGGAGGGTAAATATTATTCATTTGGACAGCTTGGGTCGTAGGCTCGCCCGCTGAACCGACCAGAGGATAACAAGACTGCACGGAATACAGGTAGGGCCTTCAGGGTTATGACAGGATGCGACAAAATAGTTTAAAAGTTTATTAAAATATATGGAACTAGGAAGTTAGGTCTGTCATAGAGTGGGCAAAGTTATTTTGCATTGATTAGACTTACAGGAATGTACAAGAAATTAAATCTATGCCATGGAATTTGTTATTAACACACGTGCAAAAGAGAAGCGAAAGAACAGTTTTAAATGTGTTGGATTTCAACTTCAAGCATTATTCATTGCATTGAATGATTTCCGTGCATAGCAAATTTGAATCAGAAACTCGTGAAGCCTCCATTACTACTTCCGTAACTAATTTGAATTATTTTGTGATTCCTAACAGTGAATTTTTTCTTTGCACTACAATGACAGGTAAATGGGTGACTTGATTTTAATTTTGTGAATTAATATTTTTTATGAAGTCCAATCATCATAGTCATGATTTTTTTCCTATGGGGAAAAAAATTATTTGAATCTTTCACTCAGCCTATTCTGGTGTGAAAAGCAGTGCATTCAGCTAATTTCAGTGGCAGGACTGTTCATGGAAAATGCCGTATCTGTAGCTAATCGGGAAGTAGGACTTTATTTTGCACAAACAATTCCACAAAGAAATGAACTCTTCAAAATGTATCATTAGAAAGAAATCAAATAGCTATTTGAGTAATAAAATCAATCCGTGTTACATACGCAGGATTATTACTCTAAAATACAGATGGGATGATTTCTATAAGCAGTTAATATACTCACACATGGTCTTGATTTCCCCTGCTAAGTGACAAAAGATGAGTCTTGCGTCCGGTTCAGATCCAGGGCTCTCAGTTCCCACATGGCTGGCACAGAAGCCAATTCTAAGAGCATATTGAAGTGAATGGAGTTAACTCTACTAACTGAACTAAAACTAGATTCAACTAAGAGACTTATAAGAAAAAAGAAGTTTAAAGACAAAGTTTGGAAACTGATTAATGTCTCCCGTCTCCTGCTCTACTTCCTTTCTTCTTTTCCCTCTCCGAGGGTACGTCTACACTACCACTAGTTTGAACTAGGGTGGTAGTGTAGACATACCCCAACCTTCTAAAAACTCTGGGTCCCTGTTTTTTACAGGGCCCGGCTTCTGAGCCCAGATCTTACTTCCTCACCCATGGGGCATGTCTACACAATGGAGAGGATCCACCCTCTGGAAGTCGATTTTCTAGCGTTTGATTTAGTGGGTCTAGTGTAGACCCCAGTATTAAAAGCTGATGGCAAGCACACATCTACACGCACCAACCCCGTGTCCTCAGCCCTTCTCACCCCCACATCCTCAACCCACTTTCCTGAGCCCCTTGGCACCCCTGAACCCTCACCCCTGCACCCCGCAGCTCCCTCCTCACCCCAATTGCTCACCCCTGAACCCCTGCATCCCCAAACCCATAGCCCAGTCCCCTGAGCCCCTCATCACCCCTGTGCCTCTGCACCCCCATACTCCCAGCCACTTTCTGATCCCCTCCTCACCCCAACCCTTACTCCTGCACCCCCAAACCCACTGCCCTGAGACCCAACACTTACTCCTGCACCCCCACTCCCATAGCCTCTTGCTCTGAGGCCCCCACATCCCCAAGGCCCTGCCCTGGCTCCAGCACATGCCAACCCTCAGTCCCTGCTCTGAAGGACACGACGTTCTTCAACATCAAGCTTTTCTTCTTAGGCAAATGGTGCCCAGGAGGGTAGACGGGGGGTGGGGTGGGGTGGGGTGGAGGAGAGGCTATACAAATAAGGTTCTCCACCTGCAGCGAGAATCCACAGCCCCTGAGAATCCAGCCGGTCCCCGAAGCATGGGGTCCCCATGCCCTGCCACTTTGCTGGCACCTGCAGGGCTAGGAGGGGTTTCCTTGGTAGGACTTTGGGAGGCGTTGCTCTCGGCGTGACGGAATATGGTTGGGAGTGAGGGCAGCGCAAGGGGCGGTGGAGAAGGGCCTCGAGGCGGCTCATCGCCCACGTCTTGATTGGAATCTGCTCCTTCCACCCCTTGTGTAATTCACGATTTCCCGGTTTTCCTTCTCCCCCAGGGGCCCACTCGCCGGTGGCTCTGAGCCAGCATGGACGAAGCCCAGAGAGACCCGGATGCTGTCACCAGCTGGTTGCTCTCAGCAGCATCTGGAAGGTGGGGTCAGACAGGAGCCCAGGACAGCGCCGGCTTCAACCTGCACACGAAAGCCAGTCCCAGTGTGACTGCAGCCGAGACACAGCCAGGGGAAGCGACTCTGAGCCCAGCTGAACCCTCCCCCTGCCACGTACCCAGCCACGCACTGAAAGGAGCAGGTGCTGAGCACATCCCCGGGGAAATCTGCCTGGCTGTACATAGTTGCAGGCTGCCATTGATTCATTTGCTCAGCGGCGCTGGAAAGATTTCTTCTGCCCCCTTCCAGATGGAATCGCCCCCGGGGGGGCTTTGAACCTGGGACCTCGGGAACTTAGTGTAGGAGCCTCTACAGCTGTAGTGATCCCTGAGCCGGACTGAAAGGGTTCAGGGGCAGCGCTGTTTAAAAGGACATGGGTTACCACCGCCCGTGCCATGCCATAGAATCATAGAGCCATAGAGCTGGAAGAGACCTCAGAAGGTCATCAAGTCCAGCCCCCTGCCCAAGGCAGGACCAATCCCAACCAAACCAGCACAGGGACCCCTTCAGCGAAGGAAGGTTGGACCGGACACCACTTGGAAACAGCAGCATTATAAAGGGCTCCTTCGGGTGACGTGAAACGAGAGCTTCTCTGACTCATGCAGAGTGGGTGACGAGAATTGTTATGATGGAACGTTAGTCAGGGGAGGGGGGATTTCCCCTTTTTGCGTTTCCTGTCACAGCAGCAGACAGCATGGAGTAGTGGCTGCCAGCCATGCTCTCTCCAGCTCCCTGGCTCCTGTTCCCAGACCCCACCCACAGAGCAGCTGGCCCACCCCCTCCAGGGCGATGGCGCCTTGGGCCACACCTGCCTGGGTCTTCTGGCTCCTGTCGCTCTGCTCCCTCACCAGGGCTGGTAAGTGGCACCCTGTTCTCTGACAGGCCTGGGGCCCATTCCCCACCCCAGAATCTCTCCCAGTGGTGGTCAGGGCTAGGGTAACTTTTTGGGGACCCACCACCAAGCAACACAATCATTCCTGGGGTGGAGTGTGGGACACACACACACATGGCTGCCATAACCCAACCTGAAGCCCCTATCACAACTTACCCCCTCTTTCTCCTCCCCCAACTAACCCCGGCTTTCACACCAGGGATCTCCACAATGCCCTTCCTACAGCCCGCCTCTTCCACCCCAGGGCTGCTACCTCCCTCCCTCCCACGGCTCCCCATCCCCCACACCTATAGCCAAGAGCTGCCTTCCACCTGAGCCTTCACCCCACCCACTCAGCCCCCTACAACTCTCAGAGCTCCTGGGGTACCCAACCCCCATTGTGTCTGCACGCCGTACTCCCAGCGCTGCTCAATTGCTGGATGGAACCTTGGGTTGCTTCTGCCCCAGATGTCTGGCTCCCCTTCCCATCCCAGTCTCTCTCCTTCCTGCAGGGCTGCACCGTCTCTCCTGTTTCCAGCTCATTTCACCCCAGGCGGCCCCAGGGCTGCCTAAGAGCATGAGCGTGTTGAGGGTGAATGACCTGGTGCTGGCGGCCTACGACAGCGGCATCCGCAGGCTGGAGCCCCGCAACGGGTACAGCCCGGGCCAGCAGGACAGCCAGCAGTTCTGGAGCGCAGGCAGTTCTAAGTGCCAAGGCTGGGATTCCCAGGGGGATGCCACATACCAAGTCCTAGTGCAGGAGGTGAACGCCAGCGCCCCACAGGCCGGTGAGTCCCTGAGACCAGCCCTTGTCTCAGCTCAGGGCAGGACAGGGGGCTCACAGCAGGTGGGAGAGGTGGGCTGGAAGTTCAAAGGAGTCATTTCCCCCAAATGTGGTGCTGAAAGTGGGGAAAAAGGCCTGGAGCCAGGACTCCTGGGCTATGTCTGCACTGGCGGGTTCTTGTGCAAGAACACATCCACACGGCCATGTGCTTTTGCGCAAGAGCATCCATGGCCGTGTGGACGCTCTTTTGCACAAGAAAGCTCTGAGGGCCATTTTAACCGTAGGGCTTTCTTGCACAAGAAATCCCTGCCACACGTCCATATTGCCTTCTCGTGCAAGAGCTCTTGTGCAAGAAGCCCTCGCTTCCGCCGCTGTACTGTAACTGTTCTTGTGCCATAGTGAGTGGGCCGTGTGGATGCTCTGAGGGTTCTTGTGCAAGAACCCACCAGGGTAGACGTAGCCCTGGTGTCCATGCCTACCTTTGCGAAGAGTATGAGAGGGGAGTCTCGTGGTTGGAAGGGGGGCTGGGAGCCAGGATTCCAGGGTGCCATCCCTTGCTCTGGGAGAGGCGTGGGTTTTGGTGACTGCGGGATCCATACATGCCAGAACTTTGCCCCACATCTCACCCCTGGGGGCAGCGCAGTTGCTCACCTGACCTCTCTGCCCCCAGAGCCCTACTACATGCAGATCCTGAAGACCTGTGAGCTGGATGATGCCACCGGCACGGTCCAAATAGCCACCAGATGTTCCCTCAACGGGGAGGACGTGCTGCACTACCGAGGAGACCAGAACCGCTGGTTCTCGGTGCACCCGGCAGCCTGGCGAGTGGCGGAGCGCTGGAACCAGGCTGCGGAAGTGTTTGGGGCGATGAACCACCTCACCCCTCAACAGTGCCAGTCTTGGATCCAGAGCTCGGCATCATTCATTGCTCAGCAGACAGGTGAGGACTCTGCTGGTGTCCCTCACACCCAACCTGCAGCCCCCTCCCTCTACCAGTTCCTGTGACTAAGGACCTTCTCACCCCCCCAGCCCAGCCCACAGGGCACATGGCCCTTGTCCCAAGGACCGAGGCCCGGCCGCGCCGCCTCATCTGCCACGTGACGGGATTCTACCCCCGCCCCATCAAAGTGACCTGGGAGCAGGGTGAGCAGGATGCCCTGTGGGAGCAGCTGAGCAGCGGGATCCTGCCCAATGGGGACCACACCTTCCAGATCCAAGTGTCCATTGAGCTGGGGCAAGAGGGGGCTGGCCCCACAGAGCACGTGTGTGTGGTGAGACACAGCAGCCTGGCGAACACCACCCTAAGGGTAACCTGGGGTGAGTACTGGGGGGGCAGGGCATGGGGGAGTTACAAGAAGAGGCTGGGAATGGGGGCACCTACTCATGGGAGGATCATCGACACAAGGGGATGGGGGCTGAGAGAGGTTGGGAATGCACAAAGGGCGTTTTGGGGGTCCCAGGGATGGGAGGACAGAGAGTGGCACTAGGGGAAGGTGGAGATGGATTGCAGTGTTGTGGGACCCTGGGCCAGAGCAAGTGGGGTCCCCCCCTTCCTTCTGCCTGCAGTCCCCAGAACTCCTGCCAGGGAGTGGGGTCAGGGCACAGGGCCTGGATCCTCCCTGCTGGGTGCCTCTGGTCCTCAGACGGAGCTCTGGGTGAACCCCACACACCCGCCCTGCTCCCAAGCAGGAGCCTGAGTGGGTTGGGGCACAGGGGAGCCCCAATTGCTTGGTGCTGCTGGGCATAGGTGCCGGTGGCCTAGTGGACCATCCACCATTGAGGGAGGGGGAGGTGGCTCAGCGGGAGAGGAAAGCAAAGAGCAGGTTGGGGGGTGGCAGAGAGGACTGGGTAGAGTTGAGGGACAGCCACATGAGTTGTTGGATGGAGCAGACCAGCAGGGGGGAGGAATGCTAGCCCAGAGAGCAGGTGCAGAAGGTAGTTTCTTGGGTAGGGAAGGACACAAAGTTTTGGGGGGCTCCATAGTTCAGTATGTCTTGGGGCATTTCCAGATTCCCAGCCCACGGTCCAGACAGTTACCATGGAGATTGTAGTTGGCTGCCTCCTCACTGCCCTGGGAGTTGGGGCCCTGGGCTGGTACCTGAGGAAGAAACTAGGTGAGTGATGGTGTCTGCACTGCCTACAGTTCAACCAACTGGCCGGCTACATGTTCCCCACCCTCTGGGGGAGTATCTGTCCTGGGCTTCAGGACCGGGCACCAGGAACCCACAGGCATTTCCCCATCCCCTGCTGGCTGCTCTGAGTCACAAATTGGGAAGGAAGGAGGGAGACCACTCAAGCCAGCAGGTGCCTCGGCATCGCCCACGTTCTCCACCAATAAGCTGCTGGAGCTGAGGAGATGGGCAAACTCCAGAAGTGTCTGGCGCCAGGAGTGCTGAGCTCCAGGTAGGCCCACGTGCTCAGGTGAGGATGCCCCATCCCAGAGGGACTTTCCCATGGGTCTCTTTCCTCCAAGGAGATATTGTCTCCCAGCCACCCGCTCCCTCCCTCCTGCCCTGCCTTTGCACTAGCATAGCTAGGAGTGGAAATTTGAGTGGGCCCTGACTTTTCATTGGGCAGACAATGACGCCATGTTGGAGGGGAGGGGGCAGAAGGATCCCTCTACCTGCCCCCTCTACCCCACCCTTATTACTCAGCCTGAACCCCCTTTGCCTAAGGATGGAACCACACTTTTGAAGGACAACGAAGCCATTAATTAATCTTCACTGGAAAGAACATTTTGAAGATCTCTTAATCGTAACTCCACGGCTGCACATGAAGTTCTTCAGTAAATCCCCCAACGACCTTCTAGGGATGAGCTTGGAGACACCCCTCCCCCCAATTTGCACGAGGAATACAATGCCATCAAGCAGATGAAGAACAGCAAGGCAGCAAGTCCGGAGGATATCCCCGATGAAATCTTTAAAGATGGTGGACCAGAGTTAATTCAGCAGCTTAATTTAGAATTAGCCAAGTGTTTTCTGTTAGTTTTGATTTGTAATCTACTTCTCTCTGCTTGTTTTCACTTAGTACCACTTAAATCCTGCTTCTCGGACTTAATAAAATCACTTTTACTTGCTATCAAGCCCAGTGTAAATAACTGTTACCTGGGGGATCAGCCAATGTGCACATGCCCCCTTTCATTGCTTAAAGGGGCTCACCCAAAGAATTCATTGGGGTTCTGATCCCATTGGGGGCATGTTATTCCAGGAAGTTGTGCCTGAAACTGTCCTCTCCTCAGACCTGAAGAGGGTCAGTGTCTACGCTGCTTCTTAGGGGCAGGGACCTCAGCTCGGGGCCTTGGCTGGGGGAGTCCAGGGAGCTGGCCCAGCAGGACCGGGCTGGAACCCCCTAAAAACGCTTCTTCATGTCTCATTCAACAGCTCATTTGGCAAATGCTGTCTGTGATGTCGTGGGGGTGTTGTTGCATTCACTCTTTGCTGTATTGGGCAGTGTGTGTGCCTCAGTTTCCCCAGGAGGAGGGAGAGGCTGGGCATGACTCATTGCAGACATGTGTTGGGCCCCGACACGTTAGGGCCAGACACAGAGGATAACAACTGCTATGTGGGAAAGGTTGACAAAGGATTGGTGGGGCTGCCCCAGGTGGGGAGGGAGAAGGTGGGGGAAGGGTCACTCTCAGCTGGGTGAGGAGGAGATAAGAATCTGGGGGCAGGAAAAGGGGGTGAAGGGCCCGAATCCCCTTCTCCCTGAGAGGAATAAGGCTGCATGCTCCTGCTCCCTGGGTTCACATCCATCCTGTGCTACGCTGTGTCCCTGTGACCCAATAAACGTTCTGTTCTACTGAGAACCCGCTGAGAGACCTGTCTGGCTACGGATGGGGGTGCGGGGTCGGGGACTACCCCACACTTCATGACATTGGTGGCAGCGGTGGGATAGACGGTGCCCTGTGACATGCGGTCACCTCACTCAACCAGCCGTGGAACGTTCTCACACATGAACGGTTCAGGAAGTTTGTCGGGGCTGAGACCAGAGCGGCAGTGAACACGGACTCCTGGGTTCTGTTCTCTGCTGTGTCATGAGCGCCCTGCACAGTCCCCGCGCCCCGCTTCCAGGTGGCCCAGACACTGCCCCATCCTCTTCTGGGGCTTACCGCCCACCCAGGGGGGCGAGGCTTCTCCGAAATCCTCCCACCATGCTCGGTGGGATCAGGACGGTCTGCCCCGCCCACTCCGCTCACCACTGTGAGAAAGATCAAAGGGCCCTGTTCAACCCATCCCCAAAATTGGTCGCTGCCACCTACAACCCCAGCGGCTGTGCTGAGGCACGGCCTGTCCTTCCCCTGCCGGCTCATGCGATTGGCTGTGGTTGGAAGCTGAGATGCCTGAGCCCTGCCGGCAGATGAGCCTGTGGGCAACTTTTTGATCTCCTCCCCCTCCCCGTTCTTCACAAGTTGAGTCTCTAAAGCAGCCAGACCGGAGGCGGATGCACCCACGCTTCACTAAGCAAACATGCAGGTCCAGATCTTGCTCCTACTCCCCATGGCTTTTCTCCAGCCCCCCAAGACTCAAGCCGGTGAGTACAGGTGGGATTGGTGCCCCTGAAATTTGCAGGGGGAATGGGGAGGTTTCAGAATTCAGTGGGTGATATCTCAGGACTTGTGACCCCTAATGGTCAGTGCACCTACAGAACTGGGTTACAATTTAAGCCGAGCGTGCTCAGGGAGGGATCATCCGGAAACTCATAATTTGCTGATCATTATTGTCCTAGTAAAACAGGGGTGGAACATTGTGTTAGAAGTTGCTGCTGCAGGGCGTCACTAAGACATCTTCCAAATCTGGGGAGCAGCCACAAACCAGTTCCCCAGGGTGTGTCTAGACTACAGGGTTTTCTAGAAAAAAAAAAAGTGGCCTTTTTTTGAAAAAAACTTCCCCTGCATCTAGACTGCTGCTGCGTTCTTTTGCAAGTAAATCGAAAGAAGGCGGCAGTTTTTTTCGACCGTGGAAAACCTTATTTTACAAGGAAGAAGGCCTTGGTTCGAAAGTGCGTTTTCGAAAACAGGCGCAATGGAATGCCAACTGGGCTTTTTCGAAAGAGGGCATCCAGACGGCTGGGGTGCTCGGAGCTCTTCTGAAGGGGAAAGGCCCCCGTGCCCCATTCCCGGATTATGGCAGAGATCTTCCGAATGGGGATTCTGAGTGTGGCTGTGGGGCAGGGCTTGGGGAGAGGGGTGTGGGAGGGTGGAGGTGGGGGTTCTGGGCAGTGAGGAGATGGGGGTGCAGGGCTTGGGGGAGCCATGTGGGGCACGGGGGAGTTGTGGGAAGGCTGTGGGGGGCACTGTGCCGCAGCAGGATCTGTGGGTGGACAGGTGGTGCTGGGTGGGGCACCTAAAATTTGGGGGGACCCCCAGTCCCTGCAGGTGGTGGGGACACCCCTGTGTTCTCAGCCACCAGAAATAGTATAGGGCTGCCCCAACTGTAAATACAGCCCTGGGTGGGTTATGGCTCTCAGAGCACCCCTAGGGGATAAGGAGCCCCCTCCCCCACACCTGGCTCCTTTGGATCCCTGCTGCCAATTCCTGCCCCAGCCAGCGAGGTTGGCCAAAGGCCCAGGGCCAGGACCAAGAAACCTGGGACCCATTCTCCGCTCTGCCCAGGATCTCTGGGACACGTGGTTTCCTGATAGGCACCCACTTCATATGAACGAGAGGCCACCCAATGAAATGAATGGGCAGAAGGTTTAAAACAAAGAAAAGGAGGTTCTTTTTCACACAGTCAACCTGTGGAACTCCTCGCCTGAGGAGGTGGTGAAGGCTAGGACTATAACAGAAAGAGAACTAGATACATTCATGGAGGTTAAGTCCATCAATGACTATTAGCCAGGCTGGGTAAAGAATGGTGTCTGCAGCCTCTCTTTGTCAGAGGGTGGGGATGGATGGCAGGAGAGAGATGGCTTGAGCATTCCCTCTTCCGTTCCCTCCCTCTGGGGCAGCTGGCATTGGCCACTGTCAGCAGACAGGATGCTGGGCTGGACGGACCTTTCATCGGACCCAGTCTGGCGGTTCTGAAGTTCTTATATAAATCCCATAGGCAGATATAGGAACAATCGCCCTGCGCCTCAGTTTCCCCATCTGTAGAAAGAGAGGCATCCGCTTGTGCCTGTCTCTGTTAGACACTGGTGGGGCAGGGCGTGTGGGGCAGTGCAGCACCCGGCCCTATGGGAGCTCTGAGTTTGGTCTAGGGGCGATGAGGTGGATATGGGCTATTTACCAACACTCCCACCCCCTTGAGTGAAGACTTGCTCACAGCTGAACCGTCACAAAAGGGTTTTGATTTCCCCATGGGCAAAGCCCCAGAGCAGGTCTTGTCCAGGGAGCCCACGTAGATTATCACATGAATGTCCCCCCCCACCGGGTGGCGACTCGGTTTCCCCAGAATAATGGAGGCGGGCGGCAGGCGAGGTGTCACGAGGAAAAGGCTGTTCGTAACCACCCCAATTTTCATGGGACCGAATTTTTCGCGCATCAGGCTTGGAGCATCCCTGGCTGGTCACCGGATGCTGGTGAAGGAGACACGTCTGGGGCAGCAGGATCTAACCTGGGGTCCCCAATGCCATGAACTCCAGGCAGGCCCTACTCCCGGTGTGTTCAATAACCATTCCCCACCCAGCCAGCTCAGAGCTGTGGATTTGCCCTCCAGCCCCATGGGGTGCCCAGTGTGGGGCAGAGCTGAGCAGGGGGCCGGGATCCAGGCCCAAGGATCCCCCAGAAAGGGGATGAGGCAGTGGGCATCCCCTTTGGGATGGGGAGCTGGATCCCCACTCAGGGAGGGGAGGGGGCTCTTTGTATGGACCTGGTCTCCCCGCAGGTGAGATCATCGGGGGAAAGGAAACCGAGCCCCACTCCAGGCCCTACATGGCCTATCTGAAAATACAGAATGGAGACAAATACTTTCGCTGCGGCGGGTTCCTGGTGGCGGAGAATTTCGTACTCACGGCCGCTCACTGCTACGGACAGTAAGTGCCTCTGGGCTGCGACATGGGGCCTGATGGGGTCGGGGGGGGAGGGGGCGGATGGAGAAGCCCCATCCCCCAAAGCACAGACCCTGCTGCCCCACCTCCACAGCACGTATGCTCCTGCCCTATCCCCCATAACGTGTCCCATCCTACCTCAGGCCCAGTTGCATGCACCCTCCTGCCCCTAATGCCCCACATGTTGCTCCTGGACTTTCCAGCAAAATCACGGTGTATGTGGGAGTGCATGACGTCAGCCAAGCAGAATTCACCCAACAAGAGATCCCGGTGCTTCTCCAGATCCCGCACGAAGGATACAACGAACACACGCTAAAAAACGACATCATGCTGCTGCTGGTACTCATGCCTCCCTTCCCCCCATCCCAGTGACCTCACACTGCTGCAGGTACCGCCCCCATCCCATCCCCCACCCCCAGTGACCTCACACTGCTGCAGGTACCCCCATCCCATCCCCCACCCCCAGTGACCTCACACTGCTGCAGGTACCGCCCCCATCCCATCCCCCATCCCCAGTGACCTCACACTGCTTCAGGTACCGCCCCATTTCCCAGCTCAGCCCGGGGTCCCTGTGGATCTCACAGGAGAGTCCCCGGGTTGGGGAGCTACATGGGGACCTGATGGGATCTGAGCGAGCCAGCCCCTGAAGCAGCTTTAGGAGCAATCGCCCTGTGCCTCAGTTTCCCCATCTGCACAATGAAAATGATGATTCTGCCTGTCTGTTTTGGATGCTCTTTGGGGGGCAGATGATGGGTCAGGGCAGTGCCTGGCACCACAGGGGGATCTCGGCTGTGGGGCTGCCCCATGGCAAATGAAATCAGTGTACTAAGGAGGAAAGGGGACCATGCGGGTGGGGAACATCTGACTTGGGGCTGCGGTGGAGGCAGAAATCTCTGGGGGGCTCAGGGTTTGGAGGGCTCAGGGGGTGAGGCTGGTCCAGCCCCACAACCCCTCCTGGCCCGGAAGCCGGTGACTCCGGCTGGCAGCCTGCAGAGAGCTGGGGGGTGTTTTTAGCACCTGTTGCAGGGCTGAGCTGTGTTAGCCACATTCCCAGCAGCAAACAGCAACACCCCACACCCCGTGGTGCAGGTGTGACCAGCGGCTTCCCCACGGGCTATCTCTGCTCCTGGCACTGGGGAGAGGGGGGGGTTGTTCTGAGCAGGTGTCCATGTGCCTCAGTGGTTCCAGGCCCGGCCCTGTCATGGGCGCTTCCACGTGGTGACAATCGGCTTTTACCCGGAAAAAGCGCAACCGGTGACGTGTGACGCTCACACTGGAAATCCGGGCAGGGATCCCCCGTTCCGAACCAACCCGGCCCAGGGCACAAAGCCAAACACAGCCGTACCCACCCAACCCAGCACAGGGACCCGGTGTGGGAGGTGAGCCTGGGGGCGACTTCCAGGCACCTCAGGGTCTGGCTGGGACATGGGGTTGGTGCGTCCAGCCCTAGCGGGAGGGAAACTCGCCCCCAGCTGAGCAGCCTGGTCTCCAGTGATGAGTTTGTCAGTTCTTAGCCAGCGCCAGCGGCCGGGGCCTGCCAGGGACCCTCCTCCTCTTCCATCCCCGGCTGGCCAGGGAGCGTGGAGAGATCCCCCCTCCGGGAACGGGCCGGCCTGCAGCTGAGAGATCCCCTGGGTGGTAATTCCAGGCACAGCCGCTGTAGCTCAGGTCAGAGACGTTCTCCCTGAACCAGCCCCTGCACACACGGAGCATATGGCTGGAGGAGATCCCAGTTTCCAATGGAGTCCCCTAAACTCACCCAGCAGTGCTGAACCCCAGGGCAACGGGGCCTTGGGTGCGGTGAGTTTGTCAGGGCTGAGACCAGAGGAGCTGGGAAAGGACAGGGAGTATCTTCTCAGTTGGTACAAAGTGTCCCCGGTGCTGGGAGGGAACAGCAGGTGCGGCTCCTAGTGGTTAAAGCAGGATGGTGTCTGGGAGCCAGGATTCTTGGGCCCTTTCCCCAGCTCTGGGAAGGGAGTGAGGACCAATGATGGAAAATGTTCCCATTCAGTTACTTGGGTCAAAGTCCTGCTACTTGGAAATCAATGTCACTAAGTAAAAGTCCAAGTTTCCTTCTGGAAAAGGACTCGAGTAAAAGTACAAAAGTATCGCAGCGTCATTACACTTCCACAGTGTTTCTCCGCCAGTGGTACGAGTCCCCTCGGGGCCCTTGAAAGAAGTCGGGGGGAGGTGGGGACAGGAACACGATGGAAATTTGGAGAAAACTGAATTTGGGTTTTAAGTTTTACAGCTCTTCAGTGTTTTGGTGTTTTTTGCAACCCAACGGTTCATGAGATTTGTGTGTCTGAAAAATTTAGGCTCTGTGAGGACTTAAGTATTCTGCTTTTTTTGAATAAAGGGGCACTTTATATAAAAAATGTTGAGAAACACTGAAAACAGCATCCTATGGATATCTAGGATTAACCACCCGAATTATCCTTTGGGTCGACTGTCCCTGATCTACAGAAAAATGGGTCACGGGCCACACAAGTGAGAGGCGACAGCCACAACCTCCACCCCCCCCCCCCCCACACCCACCCCACCCTCAGTGATGTGGCTCCAACTGAGAGACCGGCCCCAAGCTGGGGAGGAGGGGAAAAGGAGGCAGGGAGGACCAAGCTTCAGGGCAGATTTACTCTTTTGGGGTCCCAGGGTGAGCAGCTGTTGTGAGCCCCCGGCAGGCTCTGGGGTGAGGGCAAATTGAGGGGTTCAGTGTGCAGGAGGGGTTGCCAGGGAGGGGGATTGGGATGGGGGTCTGGTGGGAGGTAGGGTGGGGTGGGGAGGGGCAAGGAGGGGAAAAGGAGGCAGGGAGGACCAAGCTTCAGGGCAGATTTACTCTTTTGGGGTCCCAGGGTGAGCAGCTGTTGTGAGCCCCCGGCAGGCTCTGGGGTGAGGGCAAATTGAGGGGTTCAGTGTGCAGGAGGGGTTGCCAGGGAGGGGGATTGGGATGGGGGTCTGGTGGGAGGTAGGGTGGGGTGGGGAGGGGCAGGGGCAGG